AAATTATTGCTATATCTACTTTTTGAAGGCTTAAACAAAATTTCTGATGAAAGTACATTGTATCACATTGAAAGAAACGCATGCTATTTACCTGTCTTGCGGTGAGAATGTCAGACATTTAGAATATTTTTATAGATTCGCAGGTGATAACACTTTACATGCAAGCATTCAGAGTACCAGATATATATTTGTGGTTAAGATGGAGACAGGGAGACGGGTAGTGGTTTTCTTTCTGGCGAATGACGTAGAGCTTAGATAGCAGTATTTTGATGCAGTTTAATCTCCTTAAGGCACAGTACTACACCTTAACTAACAACAATGTTTTTAATCGGTTTTAGTGGTTCGTCGACCTTTGCTAGAAAAACATTCGTTTCGACTTATCGCAGATGACTCAGGTCTTGCTTTAACACAAACACATCTCGTCAATCACTGTAAGTGCTGAGAACACGTTGCGCTAATCGCTCAGCTTAGTCTCTAAACTTCTCTCCACCTATCCTGATAACATCCAGACACTGTTGATATTCCTAGAGCGCTGCTGCTTCGCTACGCCTTCCATATTTGATGCGGTTCTGAAAAGGATTGTCCGATTGATCTGTGACTTCCTTAATAATCTCTCGTACGTCGATGTTCGGCTCTTAACACATCCTTCGTTCGAAGTCGAATGTTTAGTTAGTAGAAAATGTTTGTTGTGTTAGACGAGTAAAGTGGGAGAATAACAACGTTTGTCATGGACCAGTTGTGACCTTGGTTCTAATGCAATATTGTCTTGAAACTTGTAAAAATTAGATAAAATGTGATATTTCGATGATTATGAATACTTCAATGAATTCGTTGCCAATTAATGTGAACAGTTGACACAGAGTTAGTTAAATTGGAGCGACAAAATGGCATGTACAAAATTTTGGAATCCAAATATTTTCGGGAATAAACTGAAAATTCCTGAAATTATCATGTTTTCCTGATTCGTGCATGGTTCTCGTAATAAAAAATCAAATCCTTATCGACTTTGTTAAAGAAGATATTTGCAACATAAAGAGGATAAATGTGATTGTTAAAATAAATCGATCATTTGAATCATTTTGTTATTGATATAGAATAAGTTAAATAGCTAAAGTCGATTTCAATTACAATTATGAATATTTGACGAAAACTGGTACTAATTCGTGGCTTAAATATATTTCGGGTTACCTAATCGGTTTCAGCCAACGAATTTGAATAGATTAGGAGCCAAGCCTCTATGCATAGTTTCGAGTCATTTGACTACCATTGCCTACTTCAGTGAAGTTATATCAACATAATAATAATATGTAATACCAAAGTGAAGATCTACCTTCAGTAGGGTTGTGCCGCGCTTTGCAATTTATTCAAGAATTATCATATGCTGAAATCGTCTAATACCACAATATCTGCAAACACTCACACTCTCAAAATACTACACACCACTAAAAATACGAATTTAATGTCCGAACTGTTAAAAAATTAACTTATATCAAGTCCACTTGTAGTATGCATATATAATAATAATAATAATAATAATAATAATAATAACGCCTTTATTTGTTGTACAGGTGAGGGACAAAGATAGCGAAGTTTAGCCTAGGCTACTCTTACCCTTAACTATCTCTGTCAGTACATTTAGAGCACGATGTAATGTGCGTTGCCTAAAAAAAATTATAGTTATAACTAAACTATACTATACTATGGATACATATACACACACATATATATATACACCCATACACCCATACACACCTATAATATTTAGATACATATATACATAAGAAAAGATACTGCATCAATATCAGGTAAGGGTAAATACAAATTGTTTTATTTGTTTACGGAAATTGGCAGGAGACATTTCCTTGTATTTACCTGGCATTGTAAAGTATGGCAGCATTATATGAAAAACAACGCTTGAAAAGTGTCATAGAGTGAGGCGGTATTCTGATTATTTTACTCTTATGCTCCTGCTATGAACTTCATGACTAAATATAATCTTACTTCTCAAATAAGCGGGCCTCGACGTAGCTATCAACTTGTGCAAAAATATTAAGTACTTGTACTCAACTAGCTTGCCAATTTTAGCCATTTCATACGATGGTACTTATCGCTAACATGGTCAAATTTTCTCAGCCCATGGATAAAGCGGATGCAATTATTTTGAATAATTTGCCCGGTTCTTCATGAACTGGTCGAGACATGGATAGCACAGAATATCGCAATAATTTAAGATTGACATAACAAGAGACTTACACAATTGTTTCCTTAATTTATAATTTAGAAGATGGCGATTGACAAACAATGCTCTCATTCTGGCATATGTCTTTTTAGTTAAATCTTAGCTGAATGTGTCCGTGAGTACACCGATACCCTTAAATCTACTCATGATGGTAACTTGTGATTTAATTGTTTGTACCTATCCTGTACGTTTGTTATATGCCTCCACATGTAAATTCTTGCACATAAGGTGTTTCAGTTTATTGTTGCATAACATTAAGATTCGATAAAACTTTTAAAATTAATGCATAAAGTCTATATAAACATGGGTCGAAAAATGCGTGGCTTCCGAAATACAGGGTGTTTAAATTTACTTTCTAAAATAGTTTTTTTTAATATTTCGAACAATATTTGATGTATTACAGTGAAAATTGGTATACAAGGGTTTTTTGGTACGACAAAACGAACCATGGACATAGTTTTACTGTAGCCGCTAGAGGGCGCTCTCTACTGTACTCTCGCACTTTTCAACATAAAAAAGCTCTCTTGTGAATTTTCGTTATAGTTAGCCGTTTTTGAGATATTTCGATTTTTAAGGTTCGATGCATTTTTAATTATTTATGGGAAAATAACGTTAAAAAGTCAGTATCTCGATAATTTTTAGAAGTAGGCTGTGTCTGCAAATATTTTTGAAATTGAAAGCAGAATAAGGTTAAACGTCAATTAGTTGGCAGTTAGTTGTGTTGTCTGTTGAAACCTGAAACGTTTTTTTGCAATCGTGAATGCACGAAATTTAGTTTCTTTTACCTGTTTTTTTTGTAAGTTTTATAAAAATGCCATTTTTATTCTCCAATCAAGAGTTAGCGGATATTCATTTTGTGTATGGCTTTGTAAATGGAAACGCAGCAGAAGCAGCCAGAGAAGATTTCCAAACAGACGACATCCAACTCGCTCAGTATTTGTAAGAGTGCATCGCCAAATAATTGAAAATGGTTTTGGAAATCTCCAAAGGGATCAAAACATAAATGTTCGTCAGCGCAGATTTACCCGTATGATTCTGCGTGAGTTTGATAGAGTGTTAGGAGAGTTTCTGGTGCCTTGGGAATTTCAGCAAGCCATGTTCACCGTGTTCTTAGAAATGACCATAGACGTCCTTACCATTTGCAACCTGTGCAAGGACTACAGCCAGGGGACGGAGAACGAAGAATCACATTTTGTCAGTGGATTCTTGATATAACTGATAATAATAGGGAGTTTTTAAGTAACGTTTTATGGACCGATGAGTCATGCTTCACTAGACGTGGAGTGGTGAATTTTCATAATCAACATATTTGGACGCATGAAAATCCGCATGCAGTTCGGGAAAGAAATTTTCAGCATGAATTTAGTGTGAACGTGTGGATTGGTATCTACCGTAATCGACTATTTGGTCCCTACCTTTTGCCTGCAAGGTTAAATGCTGCGACCTTCTTGGAATTTTTAAAGGCTGAACATGCAAATATGTGGGATGATGTTATGTTAGATTTAAGAAGATTGGCCTGGTACCAGCTTGATGGTTGCCCAGCTCATTATTCGAGAATAGTTAGAAACTGGCTGGACGGAAATTATCCAGAAAGATGGATCGGCCGTGGAGGACCAGTCGCCTGGCCTCCACGATCCCCTGACCTAAATCCATTAGATTTCTTTGCGTGGGGATTTCTAAAAGAAAAAGTTTACCAGACTCCCGTAACCACAAGAGATATGCTAATAGACAGAATCAGGAATACATGTGATGAAATAAGGCCTTATTTGAATAATGCTATACCACATTCGTAGATGTGAATTGTGTATTGAACAATTGGGTTTACATTTCGAGCAACTACTTTAGATTTTGTATGTTTGTCCTAACTATCCAATAGCATTTTAGTTGTAAATAAATTTGTTAAAAATAATATTGGAAAATTAAACAAATTAATATTCTGTTTTTTTTGTGTTTATTTGGAGTTAGGAATTATTGCTATGTTTAAAAACACAATCCAAACGATCATCTTAATTACTTGTAATGCCCAAATCGAAAATGTAAAAAAAAATATTATTTTCCCATAAATAATTAAAAATGCATCGAACCTTAAAAATCGAAATATCTCAAAAACGGCTAACTATAACGAAAACTCACAAGAGAGCTTTTTTATGCAGAAAAGTGCGAATAATCAGTTTTTTTTATTCAAAAAGCAAAAAATTGTACTATGAAAAAATTTTCAGTCATTTTAATACACTACAGGTACAGTAGAGAGCGCCCTCTAGCGGCTACAGTAAAACTATGGTTCGTTTTGTCGTACCAAAAAAACCTTGTATACCAATTTTCACTGTTATACATCAAATATTGTTCGAAATATTTAAAAAAAACTATTTTAAAAAGTAAATTTAAACACCCTGTAATTCGGAAACCACGCATTTTTCGACCCATGTTTATATAGACTTTATACATTAACTTTAAAAGTTCTATCGAATCTTAAAGTTATGCAACAATAAACTGAAACACCCTGTATATTTATCTACGATGTTTTTGCAAAACTTCTCGTAAGTTGAGATTTTCCTAAACGATTAGCTTTCCTCGAAACCGGCCGAATGTGTGGCCGAAGGTGAATATTTTAGCCGAATATGACCGTAGCCGTTGCCCACCAAACTTTGGTCGGACCCTGGCGATTTGCCTCTTTCTAATGATCTGCCAGCGAACTTTGCTTGTCTGAGCTGGCATCTCAGTGCCCAATAAAGCCAATCAATCATAAAAATATTGTTTGCAGTTCAATCATCTCTATGGACAAACAACTGTTCAAGAAGAGACTGCTGAACTTCCTGTTAGCCATCCCCGTGATATCGGTGGTCAACAACGTTCTGAAATACTCGATCGGCGCACTGAAGATCCAACTAAGAACCAACATGACCAGGAAACTGTACGACGAGTACCTGAAGAACTTCACTTATTACAGAATGTCCAACTTGGACAACCGGATACAGAACGCCGATCAGTTGTTGACCACGGACATCGATAAGTTCTGCGAAGGTGTGACAGATCTGTATTGTAACACTGCCAAGCCAATGCTGGATATTGGTATTTACGTGTACAAATTGTCTACGAGTATGGGGGGAGGAACTCCATTATTGATGTTAGGTTATATGGTAAGTTGAGTTTTAATACTTACGACGTCTGTGAATTGAGTGATAAGACTGATTTTTTTAACCAAATATAATCACAATTTTATATTGTCACCTTCAAAAAAACTAGTTTATTGACATGGCTGTGTGACAAGAAGCATTACAGTGATGCAACACCCAGTTGTTCTTGATCTGATGGACGGTGTTGTAAGTCAAATTTAACTCTTCCCCGATCATTCTGGCTGTCAACTGACGATCTGAATGCACGCGATCCCGGATTCTGTCGATATCTCAATCGGTTCTTGAAGATGATGTTGTTCCGCTTCGTGATTAATAATAATAATAATAATGAAGGGTCTTTATTGCACTAAACATTTAGTACATTACGAGGGGCGAGGCTTAGCGTGAGCTATTCTTCCACCTAACCCCGGTATGCTGGGTTGCCGAATGATCAGTGGATCAGGGTCTACTGAGGTAAGCAGCTGACCAGCAAGTGACATTTTTGTGTTAGTCTACAACGTTGGGAATAATGGAACGGGTATAAATATAGTAAAGCTCGTTTGTGACGTTTTGTTTTTTGTATGCAAATGAACTTTTCTAAATAAAAGAGCTGTTAGCAAGTACAAAAAAACAAAATCCGGCTCTGTCTACCTGGCGTTCACGGATCCGTCAGAACTATGTGTCCTGTGCCGTTATGAGGAATTTTGGGATATTACTAGGTAATGAGTTGTCATTTGACCGTGATGGATACTCGTGGAACAGGGTATGGATATGACGACTTTAGTTGCTTTTTCTTATAACTTCAATTACTTTTGCCAGGTTATCAGTTACTGAACAAGCTACTCATGCCAAATTGCATATATGTCTTTGTACTTCTGTTTTATTAAAAGTGGACTTTGCTCGTTCTACTGACCTTGAATAATTTTAAAATCCATAATGGACAATATTTCTTTATCGCAGTAACGATAATATTCTATTTAGGCTTTGCCTCCACTGCTGCTTCATCATAAAAAAATAAGCATCGAGAATTACTTTTATCGCATTTTCAACATTATTTTTATTAACTCGGCTTCAGCAGAAATTGGTATCTAATGAGGACTTCATAAATTAAACGGAAGAATTGCTGTCTTTACTCCAGAGTCAGTCAGCTATTTAAAATATATAGGAATATCAGTTTTGTGAAGCATTTACAATATGTTCGCATTATGTACCTTAACAATCATTTTCAGGTAGTATCTGGGATCATATTGACGAATCTTCGAAAGCCCACAGCCCGGCTTACCGCAGAAGAACAAAAATTAGAAGGTGAATTCCGACACATAAACTCTAGACTAATTACACATTCGGAAGAAGTGGCATTCTACAACGGAAACACGAGAGAAAAAGCTACTTTGTTGGCCAGTTATAACAAACTTCTGAACCATTTAAAGAAGTTCCTGAGATTCAGGGTTTTCATGGGTATAATAGATAACTTAGTGACCAAATACTTTGCTAGTGTTGTAGGTTTTTGGGCTGTCTCTTTGCCGTTCCTGTCTGAAAATCATGGATTCTCCAAGTAAGTGTTGTTTACTGCGTAGTTTATTATAGTTTTAATGTTTTACTTCCTACACTGTAATCGTGAAAAATTTCGAAAAGGTGTGGATTTTTGTGTGGATGAAATTTTCACTTAAGGTCTTTTTTATATTGTTTTCTGCGGTCGGTTTTGCATTTTCGCAAATATTAAATCGCTTATAAACACTGACCAGCGCCCATATTACGTAACTTGAACATTGACATAGTAACCGCGCATAAAGCTAGGAGGAAAATGGAGACGTGGGTTGCAAGACAACACTCTCAGAAATGGAGAAGTATCTCTAGACATCTCCGCCAGGCACGAGAGCTCATTGAAGGGCCCAGTGCTAAGGATGGACGCTTCTGCCTATCTCTGGGTAGAGCCAACCTAAGGTTGCTGGTGGGACTGTTGTCTGGCCATAACACGTTAAGGCGGCACCTGCACGTGATGGGGGTGGCTGAGGATCCCTTATGCGAACGCTGCGGAGTAGACGAAGAGACCTCGGCGCACGTTTTGTGTCGCTGTGAAGCTCTGAGCTACTATAGGCAGACTATACTGGGGTCCATTACTTTGGACCCTCAGGACGTAAAGGAGCTTGGACTCAAGGCGATTCTCAACTTCGCTAAAAGGGCGAGGCTTGTGATTTAAGTATTGTAGAGGTGCATAAGGGCCCGCTTAAGCGGCCTATGCACTGGCTCCTTATGGTGGCCGGGATGCCTCTAAAATTCAAGATTCATTCATTCATGAACATTGACATTATATTGATTTTTAATGACATGTAGGTTTTTACAAAACAATGTCACTTTGGAACTAACTGTCATTTACTTTATGTTCATTTGTACTAACTATGCGTATTGCCTAAAAGTCGTGACACTTGTGCTTTATGGCTTGGCTCTAATGCGATGTAACATCTGCTACAGAGATGGTACTAACGAATGCCATTTATAGCTTGTATGACTCTCAATTCTATACTATAGGTCGTTGTTGCATTCCTCGATAGGTGGCGTTCACAGCAAGTACGTGTGGCGTGGACTAGCAATTAGTACACAAGTTAACACTATACCGATTTTTAATGACATATCGATTTTTTACGTAATACCCCTGCGGAGAGTTTAAAAAATTGAAATTTGTCAAAAAAATGTTTTATCATTCTTTGCTGTATTTTGGGCTTAGCAACTTACAGGTTTTTTGGAAAAGGTCTATTTTCGAATAAAAATACGAATCATATTTTCCGCGGGGATTTTTCGTAAAAAACCCTATACAGTGTCAAAAAACCTACATAATATCATAAAAAGTCGATATAATGTCACTTTTTAGGCAATACGGAGATGCAAAGATACTACCTGCATTAATGTAAAAGACATTCTGACATTTCTGCAACATTTTGCGGCCATGCCAAGTCAGGTGTTTCCATTTTAACAAGTTGCCGGCACATGTTGCGCATCATGCGACGGCACATTTGCATGCAACTTATTCTATAGAATACGTACTCATATACACGGTGCAGTTCAAATATCACATTGAATGAAAGTAGATGAAAAACAATCTACTTAATTTGCAGGAGTTCGAATAACGAACGATCCCGTCTGTACTACACATACGGCAGAATGCTGATAAAACTGGCGGAAGCCATTGGTAGAGTGGTCCTCGCAGGTCGAGACCTATCCAAGCTGGCAGGATTCACCGCCAGAGTAACTCAATTACGGACAGTTCTAGCCGAGCTGAACGAAGGCAAATACCAAAGGACCATGGTCGCTGGAGCTGAAGACTTGAGGTCTAACGGAGGAAAACTAATCTTCAAGAACAATGTGATCAAGTTTGATAAAGTACCGTTGATCACTCCGAATGGTGATGTACTCATACCTGAACTGACATTTGAAATAAATTCAGGAATGAATGTGTTGGTATGTGGGCCAAATGGAGCTGGAAAGTCATCCTTGTTCAGGATATTGGGAGAGTTGTGGCCACTGTTTGGAGGGGAATTGACCAAACCGCCGAGGGGGAAACTGTTTTATATACCACAGAGACCTTACATGACGCTAGGTAGGTTGTTTTAATTCCACAGATACTAAGACTTGAAAGTAATCTATAAAGTATTGAAAATCACATTTTCTACCAGCAAACTGAAAGTGCCACTTCCGCACGCATTTCAGTTCGGAAAGTGTCCCTTTTTACAATATGTCATTGACAACATAAATCTAATGGAGCTGTCATATTCTGAAGGCTGATTGTATTTGATATTTGGTTAAATTGTTACAATATATTGTTTTTCTTGTTACGCGCTGGTAGAAAAAATGTCTTCTTCACAACTTGTTATAAAATAAATAAATAACTACATTAATTCTTATATTTAGAAATTCAAGCTTTGCAGAGCTTTTCAAAACGTCTAGGTACTTATTTTTGAACGGGTCAAGTGAACACGCTGAAATTCGTGATGCAATTGATGCATGAATACTATATTTTGGCGTAAAAATAGCAATTGGAAATTTCAAGATGGTGTGGCGGCTGGGTGCCATCTTGAAACATTTTTTTAAATGGAATGAGGGATAATGCGATATCTCTTTTTGAAGTTCGTTATGCCTACTTTATAATTCAAGAATATAAATTTGCCATCTTTCAAAATGGGGAACTGAAAGACTGTTAAAGTTGAGCGTTTTTACTTCCCACGCCTACTGGCGAGGAAGTATTATAATCACGAAAAAATAACATATGATATTATACGACATTGTACACCATGAAAAACCATGCCACTCATTTCCCTCAGTGTGCCTGTCTGTCCACGAATTATAACTTGGAAAGTACCGATCGGATTTTGAGGAAATTTTCATACATAAGTTATTACTATGCCAAAGGTGAATAATTGTACTTTTTGAAAATCGGTCTAGTGGCCCCGGTGAAAAAGGTCAAAGATGAAAGATAAACACCGCCCAAACTTCGTTTTAGACGTTTTAGAGGATCCTGATAATTTTTTTTAAATTTAACTGCTTGAAAATTGGAAATTGGGGGATGGAGGAGGGTTATTTTGTTTGATTTTTATATGTTTATACGCTCCCAATCACGTTAGTTTTGATCTTAAAACAGAATGATAGAGAAACGATTTCGATACGCGTGAGCTTCCGCGTTTGACGCGTTGTGCCGTCATGTATCGGGGAACTGTGACGTTGCCAGATGGACTACCGGTATTACAGGGAAAGAATGTGTGCGGACCAATTATGTGGGCCCGTTTGACTGACTTGATCTGCTTAATTTCTGTGTTACATGTACTTGACGCCATTTTTATACATTGAATCACTTGAATACCATAACCAATAATTAAAACATACGTTATATGGATCCTCTTCTCTTGAAAGATGGCGCACATATTAGCATGACGAAAAGTATCTTGAACCACTGACTAATCATGATAGTTTTTTCTACGGCTGTATTTCCACAAAGTTGTAAAACATGCAAAACATTTTAATACAACTGTAATCGATAATTAACAAGCTTGATATTACAATTTGTTTGTGATATAATTATTACTTAATTCAAAATAAACGTGACAGCAAATTAGTTCCAGAAACATGCGAATGGTGATAATTGCGAGAAGTGCAACATTATGATGACGAATTACCCCTTCCCAGACAATTTTTTTCAAAGAAATTATTGTGAAAGGATAACTCTAATTGTCATTCGTAGTTTCAATGTTTTCTGTGGCCAGTGCCTCAGCTAAAATGTATGTTATTTACGTTCAATTTGATGTGTTCCTGGAAAATGCAGTCGACCCAATGCAGTACTGGGGAAGATAATAAACTATAATCTTCATCTACTTTTTTGTTCGTTAATTCAATTCGCCTTGTTAATTTCCAGGCAGCCTTCGCGATCAACTAACTTACCCCCACTCCGGCTCAGAAGCGACGCGTCGTGGCGCCACCGACGACAAACTTAAAGAATACCTGCGTCGCGTTCAGCTGGAATACATCCTAGACAGAGAAGGTGGCCTAGACGCCATCGCCGATTGGCTAGACGTACTGAGTGGTGGGGAGAAACAGCGAATAGCGATGGCCAGGCTGTTCTACCATCAGCCCCAGTTTGCAATTTTGGATGAGTGCACCAGTGCTGTTTCGGTGGATGTTGAGGGTAGCATGTACAGGTTAGTCTTTAGCCGTTTCGATAGTCACTCTTAAAGTACAAAATACACAAATTTTCTCGTGTCACAGTAAAACTACCGGTAACCTTCCATATTAGTCCAGTTAAATAGCCGAAACTGAGACAAAAGTGACAACATTGCCACAAAGTTATTTCCGCTGGCGTAATGGTGTAATAAAGGATTGCGAATATTGTATGAATTTGGTTTTCCGGAAACCAGCCGTTATTTGTAAAACAGCGAAAAACTGAAAATCCTCTTTTTCGCTGAAACGGCTGAGGATATCTAGGATTTTTTTACACGAAAATTTTTCTAATTTTTGGGCCATCAAAAAAGGACTTTAAAATATTTTGCTAAAATGGCTAGTTTTTGCGCTACAGCTTGCTGATGGTTTGATGGTGAGGGGCTTGAGGGCGAAAGGTCGGATTCCTGCATACCACCAAACTGCAGCCGCACCGTCCACCAGGGTTGCCAGGTTTTCAGTCACGTTGGTCGCAAAGTTTTGATGAGAAAATCGCTAGTAATCCCCAATCTTTGACATAAGTGTGAGTCAACCATAAAGCGCCAGGTTAGACATTGGAATTAATTTGTGGGAGGGGGGGAGGGTTTGTAGTAGCCTGCCTGTTAACTGAAGAGCGGAGGTGAGGGAGGTTAGACATAATAGTAGTATTATATGATAATAAACAATTCCTTGAAAAGGGAGAGGGGGAGGATGGGGGGGGGGGGGGTTGTTAGACACGTGTAATCTGAACGAAACTATAAGTTCATTCACATGGGGCGGATCCATTGTGCTTAGAGCACAGAACTTCCGCTGGTCCTCGTTTCATGTTCCATTAATCTATGCAATTATTTTTTACAATGCTATACCTCGATTCACAAAATTGCTATCATATGATGAATTTAAAAGACTTATGAAGAAATTTATTTTAAATACATAGAAGTATATAAATTAGTTGATAATGTTTATCTGTCGCCTCACACAAAAATATTTCCAAAATAGCATTCCTTTGGTTGTATAACTTTCAACTCATAAAATATTAATTATCCTTCACTTATATATGTTATATACATCATATTTTTTATGCACCTACATTTGCTTTTTTGGGGTGGCAGAGTAGCATTATGCTAAACTTCGCCCCATAAAGAAGATTTATTATTATTATATCGGCAAACATAGATTACAAATTAAGTGGCGTCAGGAATGCTAAAAATCGCCAGATATCACCAATTTGCTGGATACTGGGCGCCACTTAAGTAGCCAATCGCCATGCTGTCAATTTTAGTCGCCATTTGAAGTTGTCAAATCGCTACTTTGGCGAAAAATCGCCGCACCTGGCAGCCCTGCCGTCCATGCGTTGACGACACAGACAGAGGATCTCTTACTACATGGTGGGGGTTATTCAGTAATAGTCCAGTTGAATTTTGAACCCTGAGCCCGCTTGTCAGTTTGGCGTTCACCGACTTTTCCAAATGAACTGCGTTTAAGTAAATGGAGTAATTTCTCTTCAGTTGCTTGTCGATTGACGGGATAAGTGAGGTAAGAGTGTGCACACCTCAGAATTGATGTTAAATATTTTTTCCGTATATTTCATTGGAGACAAGAAATTATGGACAAACCATTTATCGGAAGATGCATCAATTCTATGTATTTTCGATTTTGATAGGATGACAATTTTTTAATTATTATGTTTCTGTTCAATTAACTCAACTCTGAAATGTACACACACATACTTATAGTCCTTCCATTATCAATAATTGGAAAAAATCCCTGTTCTGCACAAAAAAGGTGTGAAGTCCTATAAGTTGTACAGCAGAGTATACTGCCGTGTGTCTACACGTCAAGCTAACGTATACCGATACATTGAGACTAGGACTAGACCAATGAGCATTATTATTGGTAGACACAGCGAGTGTGCAGAGAAGACATCGTCAAATGCTCATCATAATCGGCCATTGTCTATTCTTTACATATTTGCGTTGTCCTATGTTAGCCCAAGACGCGGCTCAAGAACTGCTAAATCTCTTATCATGGTCGTAGATCAAGAACTACCGGTGATCAAACTGATTTGCGAGGATGATTTTGAGAACAACCTGGAGCCTCGAAAACGAGTCTTTTGATGACTCATTGGGCTTCTACATGCTGTAATGTATTCTTATCATTGCCACTCATTTATATACACGTTCACACCTTTTCTGCAGCTTTAAGTTTTTTGTCGTGGTTCCAATTCTAAATAAAAATACTATACTTCACTTATCCTGTCAATCGGTAAGCGGCTGAAGAGAAATTACTTCATCTTGTACCTCTACTTAAACGCATAAATTTCAAAAATTCATTAATATGCATACGTCGGTGAACGCCAGAACTACAAACGAGCTTATTATTCGAAATCGACTGGCCTATCACTGAGAGTGAGACACTGAGGACGTCGAAATATTAAACGAGGATCGTCCCCGTCAACACGGTGCGGCGGCTGGTGAATATATACGTCCTTGACCCCGCAACCCACAAGCCCCTCGCTAAAGCAATCAGCAAGCTGTAGCGCGAAAACTAAGAAATTTAGCAAAAAAATTGCAAAAACCTATTTTGATGGCCAAAAAATTAGAAAAATTTATGTGTAAAGAAAACCCAGATATCATCAGCCGTTTCAGCGGGTTTTTTGCTGTTTTACAAAAAACGGCTGGTTTCAGGAAAACGAAACTCTTACGACAATATTCGCAAGCCTTAATTCCACCATTACACCAGTGGACATACCTTGTATGTATAATGTTATCACTTTTGCGGCAGTTTCGACTATTTAACTGGACTATATCTCCATTTCCCTCTCATATCCGCATAAAATTGTGTAAGCCTATATACCAGGAGAAACTATGGCAATGCTGGTCGTGCTATTAATACAACCCCTGACTTGACGCCTGGATTACCAGTGGTAGTTTGACAGGGTTGACATGTTGGGGGATTTTTACTTGGGGAATTTTTTGGGGATATAATGTTCTGGGGAAAATCACAGGTCTCGCGGATAGAAAACATTCCACGGTCTTGGAACCAAACCCACCCCTTTCCATTAATTAACTGTGATTTGACTTTTTGTTAAAAAAGTAGCAATTCTGAGGGATTTTTTGTGCCTGTTCTGGGGATTCTGTCCGACCCATCTGGCAACCCTATGCTTTAACATATCTGCCATATGACCATTTTCCAAATAATCTAAGATCCGGCAGCTTGATTCTGCGGGTATCTGTTTTCTTTAAATTAATTTTTATGAATGATAAAGTAGAATAGATTACAGCATTTCTGCCTTTATATGCGCCCTGTAACACCTATATCTTCCTAGTCTATAGAAATATAGCGATATTATTCGGTGTGTTTAACAATCATTTTATCCAGAGGTATTTTTATAGGTACTGTAGAGACGTTGGCATTACTCTACTGACAGTATCCCATAGGAAATCCTTGTGGCAACATCACGAGTATGTGCTTTATCTAGATGGCAGGGGAGATTACACCTTCAAACCAATGGAAGAATGCACAGAGCAATTTGGATCGTGATTTCGTCCTAAGTGCAAAATAGGTTATTTGATTTTTCCTTTTCCTTCTATTGTGGTTACCGCTTTTATCATGCTGAATCGTCGTGTAGGATCTTTAGGTCATATCCCAAGCAATGCCACTCATGGATTGGGTTAACGATCAGTCATTGCTTCATCACTTCGTACAATAAATTCACTTTTGGCAATTTAAAAAACAGTACAATGTTTTGATACAGTCGTTGCGCGAACAAGAATCTCATAAAATTTACTACATATTATGAAGATGATGAATATACATGGCGTCCGAATTTAATCTCTGTCCGTAGATATTTCGAAAACCACGCATTCTAGAAAAAACGTTTCAAACAAAAGCTGTAGGGTTTTGATGGGGCAAAATGATGGCGCCTCTTGCAACAACCTTGATTAGACACTCAAGGTCCTTTCAACATCGGGTGAATTTTCTCAAACATAACCCTTTTTCACATGGGAATTGAAAAGAACGTCCGACCATCGCCTTGACCTTGACACCGCCTTTAAGGTCAAAACAAGACATCGAAAACAATTTGCCGTAGAAAAAATGTTGGACAGCACGGTTAAATGGTTAGTGCGGGTCACCTAAATGTGACCTTGACCACAAGCTCCAGGTCAAAATTTCCTCTCATTTTTACACTAGAAATGAAGAAAGCAGTATATATTTTACGTCCGAATGAAACCTTGGCCTCAAATACATTTAACCTGAACACGACCAATGCTTTTTCCATTTCCAGTGTAAACATCTTTGACTTGAATTTGAAGGTCATGTTCAGGGTCATGGTCGAGGCGACCTTTGGATGATATCCACAAAGCTCACAACTGTGCTGTCAAACATCTTTGCTAGAACAAACTGTTTTCAATGTCTTGATTTGACCTTGAAATGGCTTTGGGCATTGTTCGAGGTCATGACGAAGGTGATTTTCGAATATAAGATTGGTCTATTCTGATGTAAACAATGGGGGTTATATTTAAAAATATACGCTTGACCTTGGAATTACCTTGAAAGTCGTAGTAAAGGTCATTGTCAAGGTCACCACCATGTTGCCCTTTTGAAACCCTACAACTTGATTGATTTTTTTAATGCGCGGTTTCCGTGATATTAATGTGGGAATATTAAAATGGGACACCAGGTATAACATGAAATTACCTCAGTTCTGTTCACTATAAAACTATTTGCTACTCGTCTGCTTGATTTTAACCGGTCTCGAAAAAATAAGGGATTTCATTCATAGTTTTTGCATTGCAATTCTGTTAACAAAAACCCATTGTTACTTACAAATGGGAAGATCATCCGTGGCCCATATAATCTAAAATAAAATAAATAGAAAATGACATTTTTGTGCAATAAAATCTCGAAACACAATGTCTCGTCCAAAATAAGAGAACCAGAAATAGCTTCAATTACTAGTAACAAAAGAAAATACATTTTGGGCGAACATATCAAATGGATTGAGAATTTCTTACAACCCTTAACTAGCAATGTATTATAGCGGACTTAACAAACATTTTTAGCAGTTTTTTACTTCCTCGCCCCGTCTTCCACCACGTATTGAGATATAATTGAAACTTGTCCACAGAATGATGATCGGACTGAATCTTCCTTAAAACCATTTTTCGCTTATTAGTTTATTATTATTTTCATATTTATAATGTAGAACTGTTTTATTTGTGAAAAAAATTTGACTATATTCGTATGTTGGATAATGATTCGTGGTCTTCCTACTTTACTATTTTGTGATACTGCATTCGTTGCTTCTTGTTTATTTATTTAAGTATCGGAGGTCATACAGCGAGCGATAATTGTTTTTTAGGTGGTGCTTAGCCTTGTATATTTTTACTAATATGTAACTGGCTAGCACTCTATTACGAAAGAATAATGTAAAAAATATATTTTTTTGAGATGTATGTATATGTAATTAAGAAATTGTTTTTATCTACTAGAAGGTAGGCGATGATTATAATTATATCTGTATATGTACCATAATAGATCAATGTGATGGTTTTTTAAAATATATTGAGAAGATAATGATTCTTTTATTCCACCAATAAACAATATGTGATTGGGCCATGAACAAAAAAACAGTTGTATCACTTAGTTTTTTAGTTCACACTAAACTAAACAAAAATAATTTTAATAATGTTTGTAAGGAAGTCCAACAAGAATTGAAGTACGAAAATAATGGTATTAATAAACAGTATCTTGAGAATTTGACAGCTACAGAAGCTACAAATTACTCTGGAAGGCCACAAAAAAATTCATAAGGCAATCCTCTACCCAACCCTTCAATAAAGGATCATTCAAATATCTGGGCAAAAGAAGATTCAGAAGAGGCGAGCATTTTTGCTGAACACTTGCAGAACGTATTCACTCCCTATCCTGCACAATGCACTGAAGAAGAGGAAAATCCTAGACGCGCCGTATCAAAATTGAACAGGGCGAAGTGCTGAGGATAAACTTACAACATATACTAAGTGACATATAAATCCGAACACCCAGTTTAAATGGTTTTATTTTAATAAAAGTTGGTGAATGTATCTTACTGTAAATAACAAGTGAAAAAATTTTCAGCCTTATCAGTTGGACATTCCGGTTTTTATACTGCTTTTTTTTAATTCACTAACGCTCTAAAAATGAATATTTCAGCCGCAGTAAAGAATCAACGTTGGCGGATTCTGGTTCTTGACATCCTTTACGATCGGTTACGATGCCTAGAGTACGGAAACCTGTACGATTTCGTCAACTTAGTGAGTTTGATAGGATCCGTATAGTGGGACTTCGGGAAGCTGGACTTTCTTTTCGGGCAATTGCAGTTAGAGTGCAAAGAAGTGTAGACACTGTGGTTAGGTGTTGTCAGGCATGGCTTCGAGAAAGCCGTACGCAAAGAGCAAGGGGCACTGGACGCCGCCGTAGAACAACAGACCGTGAAGATCGCCGCCTAAGGTTATTGGCCTTAAGGGACCGTTTCTCCACTACCAGGTCCATTGCAAATGAATGGTTTGCAGAACACGGAAGACCTATTGGCATGCGAAGTGTTTACCGACGAATGAGAAGTTTTGGCTTGTTTTCATACCGGCCACACTGGGTCCTCCCTTTAACTCGAGAACACCGACGTAATCGCCTTGAGTGGTGCAGACAACGGTCACTCTGGGATCAGGAATGGAACAGTATTGTCTTTAGTGACGACTCTCGATTTTGTTTAGGCATGCACGATGGTCGTGCCAGGGTTAGAAGGCGACGTGGTGAAAGGAGGAATCCACAGTTTTTTGTTGAAAGACATGTTCATCACACTGTTGGAGTTATGGTTTGGGGTGCTATAGCTTATGGTTCCAGGTCACCTTTAATCTTCATCAGAGGTAACATGAACGCGCAGCGTTATATCCACGAAGTTCTAGAACCCCATCTTTTACCCTATCTTGACACCCTGGCAGATCCAACTTTCCAACAAGATAATGCCCGACCACATGTTGCAAGAGTCACAATAGACTTCTTTCAACATAATGATGTCACATTGTTACCATGGCCACCAAGATCTCCCGGCTTATCCCCAATTGAGCACGTGTGGGATATGATGGGTAGGAGATTGCTCAATTTGCAACGTCCTCCTCAGACTCTAGAAGCACTTGGAGAGGAGTTGGTGGTTGCCTGGAATGAGATACCACAGGAGGACATTGACCACCTGATCAGAAGCATGCCTAGGCGCGTTGGAGAATGCGTAGCACATCAGGGTGCATCCACACATTATTAAAGGACAAAGGGCTTTGAAGCAGTGCAATCATTTTGAAATTTTTATCATTTACTTATGCTTCATTAAGTACTTATACAAAATTTTATTAAAATAAGACCATTTAAACTGGGTGTTCGGATTTATATGTCACTTAGTATATATATTTGACACTATATTTCGAATCAATTACTATCCTAGCAGTTGGAAGGTTGCCCAGATAAAATTGTTCCTGAAACCTCTAAAGAACCCTAATAAAGTTGCCTTATAGACCCATAAACCTACTACTGGTGCTCACAAAACTTTTTGAAAAGTGTACACAAAAAGGTTGCTTGAAATTGTTGACGAAACTAAATTAATACCATACGATAAATTTGGTTTCTGGGTAAAACATGGTGGTATTGAGAATGTAAATAAAATTAATGCGGATTTTGACAACAAAACAAACTATTCAGCTGCATTTCTCGATGTATCCCAAGCATTCGACAAAGTTTGGCATAAAGGCCTGTGCTTTATATTAAAACAACATATCCCTTATCCTCATTACTTGCTTGTGAAATGCTACCTGATTTAGATTAGTCCAAAAACATGCTTATTGCCCATACGGGCAGAGTGCTGCTTCTCTTAGGGTTTACATAAAAAAAGTTCAATAGCAAGGTCTATACTTTTGTTCCCAAATCGGCGTATTTGCAAAAGTGAATCTTGTGATCGCATTGAGCTTATTTCAATGCTCAGGGGCAGCTTCAGTTTTATGAACCATGAGGCAAATAATAAAATATGCGCCCCCACACAAAAAAGGTTGTACTAAAAAAAAGTATAGTAATTGAGAACTTTGCGCCCCCATGGCTCAGCGCTCTGAGGTGGGTGTCTCACTTGCTTAGCTCCTGTAGCTGGCCCTGCCAATGCCCGACAAAGGGTTGAATTCGCAGAACCTTTGTTTTTGTCGTTCAACAATCGGATCGGTTTTTTAGTCTGGTTGTCCATATGCTGACTAAACAATGATACAGAAGAAAATAAATAGAGCAAGGAGACTTAAATCGATTGGCATTGTCAAGTAGAATATTGAAGATGTTGGACCAAATACTGATCGACTGAACTGGATATGTTTGCTTTTCGTCTCTGTAACCATGACCAACCATAGACGTGCTCTTATCAGTGTTCTATAGGTCTAGCTTTGAACACAGACAAGTGGGTATGGTCTTTTGAAAAACTGAAATTGTGAGAGAGTTTCTCACCTACTTGCAGACAACAAAAGACGGATCACAAGAGCAACAAAAGCAGCGTGAATCTAGTCACACTAGGAATTTCACATTTTGCGATTTAGTACACTATTATAGAACATATTTTGCTACATTGGTGATGCTGATCATCTAAACAACGTATTCGTAAGGTTAGTGGCACGCATTGTTTTGTACATTTACGGTTAATCCTTAAATAGCGCGCCTGACAGTGAGATGTAATTAATGATTATACATTCGCATAAGATGAGACACCCATTCATCAAGTTAAATGAATCAGTGATGTCTCAATTATAACATCTGCAAAGGGAATGTATGCCAGAATTCAAGAGGTTGCACTTAGAATTCTTCGACTGAACTGAATGTTTGCTTTTCCACTCTGTAGCTATGACCAACAGAAGACTGCACTGTTCCGTGCTCTTTAGTAACTTATCAGTACCGTATATGTCTAGTCTTGAGCAAAGACAACTGGAAAGCAAACAAGTGAGTATGGTCTTTTGGAAAATTAAACTTGTAGATGGCGTTTCACATCTACTTACACACATCACTGATTCCAAGAGCGGTGTGAATCATCAGGTATTTAACATTTTGCGATTTAGTTCTCCATTATAGAAAATATTTTGCTACATCATTGACGCTGATCTACGTGTGATCATCTAAACAACATATTTGTAAGGTTTAATGACACGCACTGTTTTGTAAATTTACAGAACGCGCTGTTGACAGTGAGATACATATAAATAATGATTTTACACTCGCGTAACATGCGATACCCATTCATCAAGTTGAATGAATGAAGGATGTCTCATTTATAACATCTGCAAAGGGAAATGTTGTTACCAATTAGGTGTATATCGTTTCATCGACTTTCAAACTTATGCCCCAAGTTACACATGAGAGAGTACGTATATTTTGTTGCTTGATGATTTTTCAAAATCTATTTCAAATATGTATTTCGTAGAACTTCTAAATAAAAAATGTCGGGAGTGAGTATAAATATATTTTTTTATTTCACATCGGGAAAAAAAGATATTTTGCAATCCGGAATCGTATCTGGAATATTTCCAATAGAACATAAAGGTGTTTATAAATAAATCATGTATAGAATTAATATCGAAAACAAGTAACAATTGAAGTATCTTAACCTTCCATTCTAAATGGGTAACAAAGGGGAAGGATTAATTTCAAGGAAAATAAAACAGGAATGGTATAAATGTTTCATTTATATATTAAAGCAAAACAATATTAGAAACTGTTAAAAGTGTGTAGTTTGACCTACATTTCACAGCTTGTAAAACACTGTTATTTCAAATTTTTTGCATCACGCCATTTTTCACAATACTCGGATTTTGCTGATTTGTATAAAAATGTACAAAAGGTATATATAGATACACGTCAGTGTACATATTACTATAAAAATACATCATTTCGTAACAAAACATAGAGGACTGGTCAATTCTGTGTTTTGGATTAAAATTTATGAACATATATAATCCTAGAAATTCATATCAAATTATGCTATTTTAGACAATGTATCATCTTCTTGAAATATTCTATGATTTGTTTACTTTATTCTGTCAATCAAAGAAGTTACATGAACATACGACACGGAGGTTTTTGTCCGTATTTTCCAGAAGATATAACTTACGATTACGACTTCTCGTCCAAGCAAAAGAGATGGTTAAACCGACGTTTCATTGTATGATTAAGATATAGTCGGTTGGACAACGGTTGGACCCACTAAATACCTGTGCATTGACCATGTATTTATCATGCCCTAAATTCCAACTGGCATTTCAAACTGGCTTACCATGCACTGAAGGCAGCGGGTATTAAAAATAGACAACTTAGAGACAAGAATAGTCTGCTTTCAGCTAATGTAAAAGGGGTTACAAAAACTGAGTTTTTTTTTACTTCCTGGTTTGACACTGACAACCGTCCGACTGCCAATTGTGGGGATGTGTTTAAAGTGTTTTTAATCGGGCATTATTTGGGTATTAGGAATTGGTATCACTTCAGCGTGTATAACACGGAAAGTACCCCTTTGATGAGATTTTGACTCAAGA